AGGAGGAGGTGGCGCCCCTGCTTTCCTTCCTCTAGGGCCTGTGGCCAGGCAAATGGGCGCACCACCCCCTTGTGGGCTGGTTTGTCCCTCCCTCAGCCCATTAAGCCCATATCTTTGCCAGGGTTGCCCGAAACTCCTTTCTGGTGACCCGATATGTATCCGGTACCTTCCGGAACACTTCTAGTGTCCGAATACTATCGTCCTATATATCAATCTTTACCCCTCAACCACTTCGAGACTCCTCATCATGTCCGTGATCTCACCCGGGACTCCGAACAACATTCGGTCGCCAAATCACATAACTCATATAATACAAAATCGTCATCAAACGTCAAGCGTGCGGACACTACGGGTTTGAGAACTATGTAGACATGACCAAGACACCTCCCCGGTCAATAACCAATAGCGGAACCTGGATTCTCATATTGGCTCCCACATATTCTACATAGATCTTTATTGATCAAACCGTTATGACAACATACATTATTCCCCTTGTCAACGATATGTTACTTGCCCGAGATTCGATCGTAGGTATCTTTATACCTAGTTCAATCTCATTATCAGCAAGTCTCTTTACTCGTTCCGTAGTACATCATCCTGCAACTAACTCATTAGTCACTTTGCTTGCAAGGCTTCTCATGATCTGTATTACCGAGAGGGCCCAAAGATACCTCTCTGTTACTCGGAGTGACAACTCCTAATCTCGATCTATGCCAACCCAACTAACACCTTCGGAGATACCTGTAGAGCATCTTTATAATCACCTAGTTACGTTGTGATGTTTGATAACACAAGGCATTCCTCCGCTATCCGGGAGTTGCATAATCTCATAGTAAAACTCAATGATCATAATGCTAAGCTAACGAATGGGTCTTGTCCATCACATCATTCTCCTAATGATGTGATCCCGTTTATCAAATGACAACACATGTCTATGGTTAGGAAACTTAACCATCTTTGATCAACGAGCTAGTCTAGTAGAGGCTTACTAAGGACACAATATTTTGTTTATGTATCCACACATGTATCAAGTTTCCGGTTAATACAATTCTAGCATGAATAATAAACATTTATCATGAAATAAAGAAATATAAAATAATAACTTTATTATTGCCTTTAGGGCATATTTCCTTCAGTAGTACCCCATGCGGTCTTGATCGTGCCGCCACCTATGCCACTCCACCCAACTGTGGACCCTCTGTCGCAACAGTGATGACCAAAACCAAAACATTCCGTGTTGAGACAACCTATTCACCCACGTCGCCTCGCCATGGAATGAGGGGAGATGGCCGCCGCATCATAAAATGCTCACTTCACCCAATTCCCTAGCTCGCTCGATAATCACATAGGTTGTTCGAGTAGCGTACCTCGAAGACTTGAGCAATGGCGCGACAAAAAAATGCTGACTCCAATGCTAGCAAGTGATGCTGCGTTTATTGCTAGTGAGATAGTGAGCAGCCTGGTGAATCACCAGAGAAGGCGGATAGCGAGAGGCGAAGAGGCAAGTGGCGCTAGTAGAAGAGAGGGTGACACGCAAGGGGGTTTGTGGGGCTCGTTCACACAGTTGCCATCACGAATGGATGGTTGCAAACGTAGATGTGGTGACGTGCCTCATACACCAAGATATGTGCCCCTCATCCAACGACCCATAGAGTGTTCACGTGAAAACGGCTGTGAACTGAGATCAGTTCAACAGAGTTTAAGTTCTGACAATATAAATGATCACGATTTTATATGCGATTTGTGGATGTATTAGGACTAAAGTAATAATCTATTTTATAAGTCATGGTTTTAATTAGTGGCCTAACTGGGTAGGCTTGTCCCATGGGCTAATTTTAGCAAAATCTTAGATAATTTGTGGATAAGTCGATTTGATGATCTTAGATAATCCACAAAATACATCATATAATCCACATCTGACGAATATTAGCAAAACCATATCCGTAGGATATCCTGTTCACCATCCATATCCACGTCCATATCCGATGGGATTATGTAAGTACATACCATATCAAAAACATATTTCAATATGAATTCAAAGCAAAAATTATACGTAACTTTTACACCCCTAGCCACCTCTCATGCAAACACACAAATCCCCACTCTCGCACCGCCGATCTGGCTGCGAGCATGATGAAGCTTGTATCCGAAGAAGACGGGGGCGGTAGAAGAGTGGTTTCTCTCTTGAGCGAGTCCCTGGTGTCCGACATTGGCTGCAGCAACCTAGTTCTCATTGAGCGTCTCTTTGTGAGATATAACTAAGACAATCATTATGCTTTAGCGGTGAAAAGATCTCTCTAAATCGTAATTTCCGAATGGTGGTAATTTGCTTCCAAACGTCGACTTTTTTCTCCAAAGCAGAAAAGCACCCTCAACTAGATAATTGTCCGCAAATATGCGGTTATGAATACACTTCCCATCCCTTGACAGATTGATGGTGGTCGATCCGAAACAATGTTACACTAGCTAATTGCTCGTGCATTGCAACAATGACATATATATTCTAATAGTCAACATCAATCTTGTCTGACATATGCCTTACACCAATCATATTATAGATTTTGGTAAGATTTCATTTGGTTTGAGTGTGGGTAGGAGAAGATGGAAATATTTTTTGATTTACTGAGGTTTGTTACAATTTGATTTGATTTGGCTACGGGTAAGGGAAGAGAAAGAAAGTTTTGCTTTATTTCATATATTGATAAGATTTGACGGAGTTAATATAGAATGTGGTTTTGGGGATTACCAATTTGGTTTATTATTCTAAATTACACTATCTACAATGGTTTTTAGTCTATGCAGCGTCAGTTGAGATTAAAAGAAAATAACGGAAAAACAAAGGAAAGAGAGGGATGTGGGGAGAATGGACCTGCTCCCTCCCGCTAGGGTTTGCGCCGCCGGCTCCAGCACCCTAGCCCCCTCCCGCCGCCGCCGGCCGCCGGCGCGCGCGCCTCGGCCCATCCCGCCCCCTCTTCCCCCTCCCGTTCCCGCCCCTGCGTCGCCTCCCCGGGAGGTGGCCGGGGCGGCGCGCCCCTCCCCTTCCTCTCGGCCCCCACCTCCGCTGGATCTCCCCCGCCGCCGCCGGCGGGTGCCCCCGGCGCTGGCCCAGGTGGTGCCGGCGGCGGCGGGACCTTCTATCCCCGTGCGCACGTCCCCTTCCAGTGGCAGGTGACGGCGGCGGTGCTGCTCGGCTGGGCGGCGGCCCGGCGACCCGGTGGCGGTCGCCGGCGGTGGGCAAGGTGACGTGCTGCCCTTGGCGGCAGGGCGGCGGCCCGACGACCCGGCGGCGGTCGTCGGCGGTGGGCGAGGTGGCGTGCTGCCCTTGGCGGCAGGGCGGCATGGTGACGTGTTGTGGCCGGCGGTGCGCCCCCGACCCAGATCTGGGCCCTCCCGGCCCCATCTGGGTCCTAGCGGGCTGGCCATTGGCGTGGCTTCAACGTCCTCTGCGTGGCGCCGAGCAGGAGCGGCTCAGACTCGAGGCGGTGGCACCGACGACGTGCCTTCTGCAGCATGACGGTGGGAGCTTTATGGGCATATGAGGACCCGACCGGACCTGTGGGCCCACAGGACAGGTATGCTCCTGCTCTCACGTCCGGTCGGTTACCGTCGTTGACAGTGGAGGTTGGGCCCTCCTGTGTGCCTACAATGCTACTGTCCCGAGTCCCGGCTCCTCTTCTTTGTTGAGCAGGCCCCTTTCACGGTGCCGTGGTGAGACGGCGCTGAAGCTTCAAGAACATTTTGGCACAGAGTGGTGGTTTGTTTGGTGGCGTGCTCCGGATCGCCCGAGGTGAAGGTTGGGATCGGGAGAAATCTCTGTCGGCCGAGCCGACTCCGACGCGGTGGTGTCTGAGGGTGCCGCCGAACCTTCCTGGAGGGCGTCAGAGGTACCTTCCTCTCTCTCCTCGTCGCGTACCGGAGGAAACCCTTGGCAGCAGCATCGTCATCGTCGCGTCCCTTCTTGGAGGTGTTGATTGGTACCAGCGCTTTGGAGTATAGGAGCTTAGTGGAGGATCCCCGGTGGGCACGGCGATCGCGAAGCTTCTTTGTTTTTGTTGATTTGCCGGTGTCGGCATTTGTTTTTTTTCTCTTTTTTTCGTTTCTTTTAAGCGTGTCTGTGCTGCTTCCGCCCTAGCACCTATCTGATTGTATTGGTGATGTTTGCTTTGTAATACAAAGGGGGGAAAACTCTATTTCGTTGATGTGGGGAGAATAAATAGGAAGAGAGTGAAAGGAACCTACCAACTAGACATGGAGTTTTTTAGCACGGGCACACATGCATTAGTTGCTACAGTAAAATCTCAAAAGAAATACTAAACAAATCTTTTTTTTTGGCAAACGTTATTGTGCCTTTCACATGCGTGCAAAGTCTCGTGATGGAATGATATTCATGAAGGTCTGGGTGAAATCGATGCTTCAAAAGACTGTTTTTGAAGAATTTTCGACCATCGATTTTGTGTTTCTTGCCTAGACTTCAATGAATGTCATTCCATCTTGGAAGTTTGCATGCATGTGGAACATCAATGTTTGTTGTCAAATATTTCAGATTTATTTGAATTTTGTTTGTGTTTTTTCATGTTTTATTGTAGCAACAGGTGCGTGTGTGTTCGTGCTCACAAGAGCACTTTTGCCTACTAACTTTTCTTTAATATAATCCTCCTTTAATAATAGAGATACACATACAGCCAGAAAAAGAAAAAAGTCAAGCCCATAATAAGCCAGCCGCCTTAAGTAAGAAGAAGCTTGTTCGTCTTCAGACCATCGACGATGCAGTCCACCGAAGGCGCCAGTGCCCGAAACCGGTGACGAACGGCGCCGCGGACGTGGGCAAGCACGCGGTCGCCCGATCGATAGCCTCCCCGTCGCACGCCATTGCCGCGCACCTTGTAGGCCGCGCACAGCTGCTGGATGTGCGCCGAGAAGAATAAGGCCGCGAACAGCAGCATGCACACCTTCAACGCCGCCATCTTTAATCCGCTAGACGACTAGAGCAGTACTCGCTCCGTTCCGAATTACTTGTCGCACGTATAAATGTATCTAGATGTATTTTAATTCTATATACATTCATTTCAGCGACGAGTAATTTGGAACGGAGGGAGTACGTGCTATCTTAGCGATACGTGCTTCGACCAAGGCAGCTAGAGGCGGTACGTACGAAGGGCAGCGCCGATGTCTACGTATATGTAGGGGTGAGTGAGTGAGTGGCAGAGCAGAAGCAAGGATGGAGTGGGTGACTGACCGACGGCGTGCTTTGTTTGATCGGGCCGGAAAAGTTGAGCGGCGGTGATGAATAATCTGTCAAATCTGTTTATCTAACGTACTACGTTGCTGGGCTTAGCTCGGCAGGATTGACTTGACTCGATCAACAGCGCTAACTTGTCAAACATTGCTCAACTTGGACATGTTAGAAAAACTGTAACATATACTCACTCAGTTGGGAATTACTTGTCACAAAAATAGATAAAAATAAATGTATCTACAACTAAAATACATCTAGATACATTATTTTTTGGACAAGTTATTCCGAACGGAGGGAGTAGTACGTGTACCAGTTAGTCATGCATAAATACGTACTATCACATATGCCCGTGCGTTGCAACATGAAAATTTGATGTTTTATGCAATCATAATATCACACAGCACCGGATTCACTATAAAGACAATGCTGCGATGCAACATTCTTCTACAAAATGAACATAAAAAATACGATGCAATTTAGCCGTGTTCATATTTTCTTTGCTAGGCATAATCTTCCCCTTATTCCATTTAAGTATAATCCTTCATTTAATTACCGAGACGTTCTCATCCGTTTTAGTCGGGAATCAAATCTTTATTTTTCTAATTTAATAGCCCAACACATTGAAGTCTACATATTCTTCGTTTTAATTATCCTACCTTTTTACCTCAAGCCCTTTCTTTAATTAGCCTCATCTATTTGAATATTTTATTTATCAAGACTACAATCTTTTTTTAATTATTCCACCGGTTTACCCATAATACTTTCTTTAATTAGCCACATCCGTTTAAATATTTTACTTAAGTCCACAATCCTTTCTTTAATTAGCTCATTCGCTTAATTAGCTCAGCCTAAACATTAGTACCGCCACTCGCTTAATTAGGTCATGTTTCAATTCCCACAATGTTGATTTATTTTGACCCATTACTTTTCGCTGTCTCTATGAAAGCTCATAAATAGTCGATCAACATACAAGTACCTGGCCTAGATCGCTTAGCCTATGTACGAGCCAATCGTATAAAATTTTAGCGTGCACTCAAACCAAACGAAACGAAAAGGACTGAACCAAACCAAGAACACCTATTCCCTTCAATAGTAGGTATAAACATGCCATGAGGCATCAGCCATTCGTTCGCCACCAAGGCTGGTACTAATGTATGATACTACTTCTGTAATGTGTAGTATCATAAGTTGTCTTATTAATTATCATGTGTGACACAGAGCAGTACAACATTTAATATGATATCATATCCTCTTTTTTCTTATTTAATTGTGTGCCCCATCATAAAAAGTCTAGTTATCATGCATGATATCACTTATAATACTACCATTATAACCAGTCTAATATGCATGCGATACATACCCGACTGATATTCATGAATAGACAAGGTGAAACTACAAACTGTGATTCACAACTTAATATTGAGCGTCCACTGATCTAGCTAGCTTGTCTCAAAAGTAGCACTGATATGATGTACGACAACATAAAGTATTTGATAATACCCACTCATCGTAAGCTGACAAACAGAGAATGGAAGAGCATCGATGACCGGTTTGAGAAGAAACTGAACTGCTAGAAGGGCAAACTCATGTCATATGAAGGCCGACTGATTCTTATTAATTCGGTGCTCACGGGTATGCCTATGTTTCTCTTATCTTTCTTCGAAGTCCTAGTTGGTGTTAGGAAAAGGCTGGACTTCTATCAATCCCAGTTCTTCTGGCAGAGTGATGAACTAAAGAGAAAATACTGACTCACCAAATGGGATATCATATGTCGACCAAAGGACCAGGGGGGCCTTGGTATTGAGAATCTTGAAGTCAAGAACAGATGTCTTCTCAGTAAGTGGCTGTATAAACTTTCAGTTGAGACTGAGGCCACATGCGCGCAGATTCTCCGTAGTAAGTATCTGCAGTCCAAGATGTTGTCCCAGCCGACAATGAGACCGACAGTTTTGCCATTTTGTAAGTGGCTTATGAGAGTCAAAGCTGCCTTCTTTAACAGAACAAAGTTTATGTATCACCACTCGCTTTTGGCAGAAATGATTTGGCTTTTAACAGAACAACAAATATTCAAGGCAGAGTGGTAATGGAAACACCACTCGCTTTTGGGAGGATACCTGGCTTGGCGAAACGCCATTGGCGCTTCAGTATTCGTCCCTATATTGTATTGTTCAACGACGTGATGCTCTTGTTGCCACGATTATGTAGTCCATTCCCCTTAATATTCAGTTTAGGAGGGCGCTTGTGGGCGACCGGTGGGAAGCATGGCTTCATTTGGTGAGTAGACTGATGGAGGTTCAGCTATCTCATCAGCCGATCAGTTGTGTTGGAAGCTTACTAGGTCTGGAGAGTTCATAGTTAAGTCGATGTATATCGATGTCATTAACTCTAGTGTTATCCCTAGTTCCAAAGAGGTTTGGAAAGTCAAAGTTCCTTTGAAAATTAAAGTGTTTATGTGGTTTGTACGTAAAGAAGTCATTTTAACAAAGGATAATTTGATTAAGCGCAACTGGACAGGATCTACTAGGTGTAGTTTTTGTGATCGGGACGAATCTATCAAGCACCTCTTCTTTGACTGCCCGTTGGCAAGGGTTTTGTGGCACACGGTGCATATTACCTTTAACATTACCCCTCCGAATTCGGTTAGTACGTTATTTGGAACGTGACTTGTTGGGATAGAGTCCGAAACAGCTAGACACACTCGTGTAGGAGTATGTGCTTTGTTGTGGGCAATTTGAAATTGCAGAAATGATTTGGCTTTTAACAGAACAACAAATATTCATTTTTTACAGGTTTTATTCCGAGCTACTGCGTTGGTCCGTATGTGGTCGTTACTCACTCCGATGGAGGCCAGGGAGCGTTTGGTTACTGGATCTGTCCGGTGGGAGATGGTAGCGCGGGATATCTTCAACCGATTTGGATGTCGGTCATGTAATATGATAGGCAATTAGTTTACCTATTTTTGTTATGCCAGCCGGTTGTGGCTTTTGGCCCTTTTGTTTTTGGCATTGTGGTTCTTTGTGAGCTTGCCTTTTTTCTGTTTTTAGACTATACGACCTTGTTGAACATCTTTATTTATCTATAAATGTGTCTGCATGCATCGTTCTGATGCAAAGACCGGGGAGTCCCTCCTTTTCAGTTTTTTTTTGATAATACCCAAAAAAACTACATTTATATTAGTTCAAATTTAGGGTGTCTAGTGTATGGTTTATACTCTATATAAGGTTGTCACGCCTAACTTTAGTCATGCCACAATATATCTTGGGCATGTAATTGATTCATTGCCATAGCTGTGGCTTGCCACACTTTTCAAACTAAGTGGTCCACATGTTATAGGCTTGTTTTTTGACAAATCTTACTATGCTTGTGGCAGCCATTTTGTTCGGCACACTTTTTGTGTGAGTCAAAATTTTGCCTAAGGTTAGTTATGGTAAAGTTAGTGACTGATTTACATGGTACAAGTACCTTTTGGTGGAATTGCATGTTCAGAGGTAGGAATATCGTAAATATAGTTTCGTTGTATTCTTCCTCTTCATCATTAAATCGTTGAAACATGCATTAAACAAAAAAAAGATTTCTAGGCATAGTTTTGCAGCACGGTTTCATCAAAACCATATGAGACTGTTTTTCTAAACCTAGGCGTATTATATCCATTATCTGTATTGTCCAATGTTGCTTTCAAATACTCCCTCCATTCCTCTTTATAGTGTATATGCTTTCTAGCACTAAGACCATTGCATGACGTGGATTTTTGGTTTGTACCAAACTACCCCTGCATGTAGAGTTTGCCTGACACCCATGTGCGCGGGCAGCTGTTTCTCCCATAGTTGGAGTCGAGGGCTTATTCGCCTATACCAGCCTGGAGCTGCATGCACGCACTACAATTCGGAATTCTAGCACAAAGCTAATGCGCACTACAAAGAGGAACATAGGGAGTATGTGCTCACCAACTAACTTACAAATGAAACCACATATGGACTTCAAACTTTGCAGATTGACAAAACTTTAAAATTCAACGAATGAAACAAGTTTCAGGTTTTTTGTTCCAGAATAAATATACCAAATGGGATTTCTTATTGAAAATATTTTTTTGTAATTTTTATGATGATGTACGTAAAAATTTTAAAGTTCTTTTCACAGATTGTAGTTCTAATATTTGGTTGACCATAAAGTTTGAATTTTTTTTTGAAAGATCCAGGGATCCTGGCATTTCATTGATTTAGCAGAGAGCAGTGGAGAAAACGAAATATGGGAGGGGGACACGGGGGTCAAGGATTAAACTAAAAGAGAGAAATCTAAAGAAAAAATATCCAGAGTAGGCTGGGAAGATTTGGAGTTACATATATCCCGTTTGCTCCCCAAAAGGGGTCTCTAGGTACATTGCGTCGGCTGTACGTCACAGGTCAACTGATCTTATGATGGAGGCTGCAACCTCAGCAACAGAGGCTAACTTGTTTCTGAAAGTGCAGTTGTTTCTTTCGTTCCAAATTTTCCAAAGGCCCAGGAGGATGAGTGAGTTAACACCTTTCCTGAGGGTGGTTGTGCTATCATCAATCATCGTGGTGACAATTTGGGTGGAATTTGATAGCAGTTGCCATCTTGCCGGGTCGGTGGAGGAACATCCCGTCCATGCTGAGATCCTCTGCCACACAGACCGAGCGAAGTCACAATGCCAGAATAGATGAGCCATCGTTTCGAGATTTCTGAAACAGAATTAGCAAAAGTAACTGT